TTTCGTTCTGCTGTGCATGGGGTCGCTATGAGTCGGTTCCGACTCGATGGCACCTGACAACAACAACAACTGGGGACCCTGGGCCCTCAGGTGGTGAGAAGAGATGACGACCTTCCTCCAGAGATGACCCAGAAAGGAAGTCTTCCCCTAGAATTGGCACCCTGGATTTGGACTGCTAAACTAAGAAAATAAATTTCTGTTTGTTAAAATCATTCACTTGTGGTATTCCTTTCTACTGTAGCAGCATGAGATCTAAGAAAACACGTAAGGCCAGAAATTTTTCTCTTTATAGAAACAGAACCACATACAGTTTTCCCACTGTGCTGTATGTACCACTATAGCTTGATTTACTCTTTGCCTATGAGCTACTTAAGAGTGTTTTCCATTTCTATGTGGTAAATTTTCTTGTTATTGTTTTGTTATTAACTTCCAGGTGTCAGTCTAAGAAATTAGCCCTGTACATTTTCTAACTTTTCTATCATAAAAGGAGCCCCACTACAACAGAGATGTTTTCAATTTCTCATTATATTTCTAACTGGTTTCACTTTAAATACGTGAATACTCTATTAAGAAACAAATATTTGATTCTATTTTCCATGGCTATATTTTCATTTGGGATTACACAGTATTCTACTAAGTGGGTAGCGTAGTGGTTACGAATCGGGCTGTGAACCGCAAGGTCAGCAGTTCGAAACTACCAGCGGTTCCGCGGGAGAAAGAAGAGGCTTTCTGCTCCTGTAAAGATTTACAGCTTCGGAAACCCTGTGCAGGGTCGCTATGAGTCAGAACTGACTCCACGGCACTCAACAACAACAACAACTACTAAGTGGGATACTTACCATATTTAGCAATTTCTGCCTTAAATTATACTAGTCAGATAATGAAATTGTCAATTCTCACTGTAGATTTGTTTGCATTTACCTGAAAATGCCACCCCTATAAATGTCATAAGATTAAGAAAAAGCTCCATCAATACATAAGAGTCTTTTTATCATAAAACTGCAATATGCAAAAAACAAGTGAAAATTTATTCTGTGCTCTAACAGATTCAGAAAATAAAAAATGCTCATGCAGTTTTTTAATTGCTCAATAAAGTTTCAAGAAGACCTATTTAAATCTATTCAAAAGAAAATCCATTAAGAATGTTTTATAGTAATTGAACAATATTCAACAGTTGCTAAAATGAGTCACCACTAAAAAAAAAAAAATTGACAATGACTACGAAATAAGCAGACGTATTTATAAAATGTGTCACCTGAACCACAGTCACAAAGATAGCTTACACCTAAAGAATAAATCCAAGGAAATCATATTAGTCTTTTAAACTTCAGTTAGCTATTAAGTTACCAAGCCATATATAGTACAGTTTTAATTAATTGCCACAAAAATAAGAGATCTAAGGAGTCCTGGTGTGGTGCTGCAGGATAATGCACTGGACCAAAAGGTCGGCAGTTCAAACCAACTGCTTCTTGGAAACCCTAGACAGGGTCGCTGTGAGTCAGAACTGGCTTGATGGCACTTAAAAACAACAAGGTAAACACACTGTCCCAAAAAGAGCAAAACAGAAAAAATAAGAGGTATTTTATGGAGCAAGGTGCTGTTATTGTTAAGAACCATCAAGTCAATTCTGACTCATGGCGACCCTGTACAGGGTTTCCAAGGAGCAGCTGGTGGATTTGAAACTTCAACCTTGTAGTTCAAAGTCCAGCAGTTATCCAACAGTGCCACACTAGGAGCCTTACTCCTCTCCAATACCTCATCCTCACCAATTCAATCAGGGCACTTAGGAAAATATTTTTGTTTTTCCAAAGCCATACTCACGCATCATAATCTTGAATGACCAATCCCACAGACCAGATGGCAGTCAAATATTCATTAACACCATTGGGGCTGATATAATGGAGGGAGTCAGGAGACCTTGGATCACCATTGGAGCCAGTGAAGTCCACTCCCACCTGCCAGATAACAATTGGGAGTCCTTACAAATGAGAAGACAGGAACACCTTTGCTTGACGTCAGAAAAAGCTTCAGGAGACAAAATATAAACATTATCCCAGAATCTGCTACTGCCATTTCATCATAAAATGTCTGTGCCTACCAGTATCTCCAAGCTCTGACAGTGTAGTGGTTACAAGTCAGGCTGCTAATCTCATGGTCAGCAGTTTGAAACTACCAGTGGTTCTGCAGGAGAAAGACAAGGCTTTCTGCTCCTGTAAAGATTTACAGCCTCGGAAACCATATTCAGAGTCGTTATGGGTCGGAATCAACTCCACAGCACATAACCACCACCACCAGTATCTCCAAAAAGAATGAAACACATTATCACTTCTATTTGGTTTCAGCATGAAAAAACCTGCTGTCCCTCCCTACATTTCAAGCTGCCTTACATCATGAATTTTTAAAACCATGACTTAATGGGTTGTTTTTATACATATGTTGGAGTCATGTTTTCTATTACTTAAATCGCCTTAGGATAACCACCACTTTGGACATATCTGCTTTCTCTCAGGAGTAACAGGTCTTAGGCGTAGAGCAGAAAACACCATGACAGACCTAGACATCCTAGGTTTCCGAGGAAACCATGATAAACAGATTGTGTAAACTTCATCACAAAGTCAGTTCTGCAATAAATTAAACAACACTGCAAAATGAAGAGGAAGCAACATGTTACAACCTGCTTTGAAAATCTCAATGTATTACTTACAGTAAAATTCAGCTGACATCCTCCCATAATATAATCAAGAAACGTGCATTCCACTGTAATCTGAGAACAAAATGCAAATTGTCAACACTGAACATTTACTACTGGGAAAGGTTTGTAAACAGAATAGCACATGATAAAAATTTGCTAACTGAACAGCACATGATATAAATATATGGAAATCACCTTTACACATGAATTAAAGAAAACCCTGTCCCCTACATGCCATAAATCTGTCATCTTACTTCTTCAAAGCAATGTTAAAATTCGGATATTAATGGCCAACGATGAAATATACTCACTTAAAGCTTTAAGAAATTAGTAATTAGTCTAATATATTGAGAGCTTTAAAAGCACAGTAATCAAGATTAAAACAATAATAATGAAACTCACTGTACCTTGTATGAAATCACTTAAGATTGTTCCCTCCACTGATAATATCTCATCTTGAAATTATCATCAGGATAGTAGCAATGGGCGAGGCTAGTTCCACTAACGGTGTGGGAAAATACTATGGTGCCTCACATTTCAGAAGATAATGGAAAACTTTAATATTCCTTGTACTCTGCTAAAAAGTTGTCAAACCTTGGAATCAGCCTTACTTAAAGGACTGCTTTACTATTTCCTACCCTCTTCTTTTCTTTTAAGGTATCCAGATGCTCATGTGAGTTTTAAGTGCCTAAAATTTCAGTGTTTGCTGGGCACAGCCATAACTCCAAATATAATCTCATGACATTCCAGTAAGTAGGCAAGACCAAACTGACCTCACACTGTTTCACACTGACAACACCTGAATTTTTGTAGCTTTTCTTCTTTTGTCTCTTTTTCTCGTTTATACATTCAAATTCAACCTGTGCAAAGAAAGGGCGAAATGTTAGTACTGTAAAAAACTTTTTTTTGTACTTTCCATTCAACAATTCATACATATTTGCTTCATATCATTGATGTAATTCCCATAATGCAACAGTACTCAGCTCCCTACCTCCGAGTGTCCCCCATTTGCAGTCATCCTTCTTTCCTAACCCTTCCTGTCATCTGAATTTTGTCCTTGGACAAATGCTGCCCTCTTGATCTTGAATGGTAGATTTTTCTAAGGAATGTGTATTATTTCTAAGGAATTATTATGGTATTATTTTCACCATAACGACCTATCTATTATATGGCTGAAAGTTGAGCCATGGGGGTGAGATCAGCTCCAGGCTTGAAGAGTGACTAGGGGTCATAATCCCAGGGATTCCACCAGTTTCTATATAACCAATAAGCCTAATTTATGATTTTGAGCTTTGCTCAATGTTTTTCTCCCATTGTGATCCCTTTCAGTGTGGTTGTTGGTGGTGGTGGTGTGCCGTGGAGTCAGTTCCGACTCATAGCGGCCCTGCATAGGGTTTCTGAGGCTGTAAATCTTTATGGGCACAGAAAGCCTCATCATTCTCCTGCAGAATGGCTGGTAGGTTCGAACTGCTGGTATTTAGCTTAGCAGCCCGACTCATAACCAATATGCTACCAGTTCTTTAGTGTGGTTGGTAGTGGTTACCAGGTAACATCTAATTCTAGTCTCAGGGTTGTTGAGGCCAGGATTCACATGGTCCATTAGTTATTTAGACTACCTATTTCCTTGCATCTTTTATTTTCTTCATTATTCCATGCTTTGGATGGAGAGAGTTGTACCTCAGCTGCTTGAAAGCTTTAAAGATCCCAGTCACAACTCACCAAAGTAGGATGCAGAAAACTTTGTGGACTATGTTGTGCCAATTGACCTTAATATCCCCAGAGACTATGGTCCTGAGCTCCCCAGTCCCAGCACATCATTCCTTCAAAGTGTTTGGTTATGCTTAAGAATTTTTTCATAACTTTGCCCCCTGTTTGCTCTACTATGTCCATGGGTCTATTTTCAGCATTTGTAAATACAGATGTACAAATATAGTCTGTTGAACCTATAGATATATGCACATCCATATTCATCATAAGATTATTCACAATAGCTAAAAGATGGAAACAACCTAAGTTCCTATCAACAGAAGAATAAACAAACTATGTACGTATGTACACAACTCAATGTTAAAGAAAACAATCTGTGAAATACTCCATAATATGGACGAACTTAAAGCATATCAAGTTGAGTGAAATTAGTCAATCATAAATGACAAACACTGTATGAAACCACAACTATAAAAAGTCAAGAGAAGTTTTTTACACAGAAAGCAACATTCCTGGATTATGAGGGACTGAAGAGGATTGGAGGGGAAGATGAAATCACTAAACTAAAAATCAGGCACACGAAGGGGAAGGCAATCTACAATAAGGGGAAAGGCAGCACAGAAAAAGACAAAGGAAAACACTGGGAGGAGCACAAGAGTGAAAGACAACAGAGGAAAATGCTAGCACATACACAATCCCACAGTAACATAATACCAGTTTACAAGTGAATGCATAGATAGGCAAGCTGAACAATTATGAGAAGGCAAATGGGAGGGACTACACAAAATGTTAACTTTCACTAGCAACATCAGAAACGTTAAAGTGAGTTTAACCGAATTACTTTTTCCTCTTGGAATCAAACTACCTTCTGACATAGGTATGCCCCAAAACAAAACTCTGAAACAATTACATAATACACTGTTGTTGTTGTTGTTGTTGTTAAATGCTGTCAAGTGGGTTCCAAAGCAACCCTGTATACAGTTTCCAAGGAGGAGCTGGTGAGTTAGCAGTCCAATGCTTATCCTACATCACCACATCCAGGAGTCCACATAATACACTGAATATGTGAAATACATCACAGTTAATCTTCCAGCAATTAAAGGACACCTAAAAGTATATATAATAGTTCCTAAGTATAAACTTTTCCTCTGTAGATAATAAGCATGCCAACAAATACTCTAACTTTCCTCTTTATAATAAAGGAAATAATATCCCAGTTATTACCCACACAGCAACAATATATTGTTTAAAAAGGGAAGAAAAACCTACTAACAAGAAATGTAAGCATTTGAAGCCCCAACTCTGTGGTAAAATATGCATCAAAGATCACTCTCTTTCCGTAGGGAATAGTGGTTAGAAATCTATCATAATACATGGCATTTCTCCTCAGTGCCTTCCCCCAAACAGCACACTCTTCCTTTCCATTTCTTATCCACCCAACCATATTTACAAGGCTTGGCTCAAATCAACCTTCTTTCTGGTGCCTGTATCTACTACAGTTTTCCTCTTCTCTGATCTCCATTTATTTCCTTAAACTTCTTGTTGTTAAGTGATGACAAGTTGGTTCCAACTCACATCTTGTAATTCTTTGCAAGAGCAGAAAGCCTCATCTTTCTCCTATGGAGTGGCTGGTGGCCTCAAACCATCAATCCTGTGGTTCACAGTCCAATGCTTATCTTACAGCTCCACTGTGCTTCCTCTTAAACTTTTTATAACTATGAAAAATTTTAGCTACATATTCTGTATTAATTTCAGGTATTCCATTTTATTATTTTTCCTTCATAGCTACAATATAATCACCTTCAAGGTGATGTTCCAAATCCTTACTGTCTTGCCTAATAATAAGAACATAATAGATACTCAGTGAACACTTCTGATTAAGTCACCTCTACTGATTAACAGAAAGCAGCTTAGGTAATTCAGAGTCATGACTAATTTTCAAAGGATCAAAACATTTAAAAGCATACTTAATCCAATGTCATTAAGATATAATTAAATTAAATTCCTTGATGGTTCAGGATCTTGTTAGAGTTTTGGTCATAATCATTAATGTTGTTGTTGTTGTTGTTAGGCGCCATCAAATCAGTTCCAACTCATAGTGATCCCATGGACTCTATGCAGAATGGAACAAAATACTGCCTGGGCCTGAGCCATCAACACAGTTGTTACCTTTGAGCACACTGCTGCTACCACTGTGTCCGTCCATCCCGTTGGGGGTCTTCCTTATCATTTTTGCTGAACCTCCACTTTACCAAGTCTGATGTCCTTCTCCAGGGACTGGTGCCTCCTGAGAACATGTGTGAGGTATGAAGGACGAAGTCTCACATCCTGACTTCTAAGGAACCTTCTGGCTGTACTTCCTCCTACACAGATTTGACTGTTCTACTGGCAGCCCATAGTACTTTTTTTAATGCTCTATATTTTGCTTTTATTTAACTCAAAATAGCTAATAACATAAAAACATTTAAAAACATTCCCATTACTTAACTTTACAGTTATTTTCAGTTGATGACAATTACTTAATTGTTTCCAAGAAGTTGCAACATAATTTATCATAAAACTTATCTTCATGTTTGAAGGCTTTAAATTTATATATTTAAGATGCTAATCAAAAGACATGATTTAGTAATTAGTTTTGATTCTAAATATATTTCTCCCACATAGAAACTTAACAAAACTAATGAACATAAATAGGCTAGCCATCAATTATTTTTCAAGGAAATGCCTAAATACAGCACATACAGGTAACACATATGCTTTCAACTTTCATATGAAACGTATAAGATAAATATGGATGTCTGTTTGAAATTCAGCAGTGTCACATCATAAACACTAATTTACATTAATGCAGTATATGAGGTAAGTGAAAAGGAAATAAGGCAAGTAACATTTAATGTTGTGGTAATTAATACCACCTACTCAATGAATGCAAAGCTGTTTGAACTGCAAGGTGGTGGTTCAAGCTCACCAGCTGCTCCTTGGAAACCCTATACAGGGTCACTATGGGTCAGAATTGACTCGATGGCACTTCACAACAACAACTCAATGAGTATATGTCCTCAAGCAAATCAAGATGAGCGCTGTCAATATGGCATTCCTTCAGCCACATCTGCCTCTCAAATGACAAACATTTTGTGGGCTGAGTTTGAGACTAGTGTTTAAAGATGTGCTTCTTACATAAAATGCCCCCTGAACAAATACCAACAACTCCATTTGGTCTTCAACTGGAGGAAAAAAAAATGGTTGTGATAGATGTACAGATTTCTAATACGGACCCTTCCAAAAGGGTTTTCAGGGTAGCCTTAATAAGACCCTATTTTGTCTTATGGGCTAATGCTATAAACTGACCCCTGGGTATGATGCAACTATACTGTAACATAAATAAAAATGCCATGATTTTTAAGATTTCATGATATTGTCAGCATAACTTAATTTCCAGTTTAGTTCCTTTCTCACATTTAGCACAGTGTGTTTCTGTGACATTTGCTGGTGTCAGCTCTTGAGAATGTCCCTATCAGTAGCTGAGAAAATCCCACAATGAACAGATCAGTGTGTCATAAAACCAAAACACTGAAAGTTGATCAGTCGGAGTCAGGATATGGATTTCAATGAACAAATGGTGCTCCTGGAGCAGAGAGTAAATCTGTTTAGTGTATGCAGTGTTCCCAGGGATGCTCTGGAGTCTTTTTCATGGGTTTCCAAGTTGGCAGCTATATCCAACTTCTTAAATACTTGGCCCTAACCTGACCACAGCCCTGGTTTACAATCTATTTTTAAAAGCACCCTTCTAATGGGAACATCCCTGCCCTGAATTAAGCACGGACTATGAATATCGCAACTAGCAACGGCTGTTATGTCATACAGTTTAGGTTAATTTGGTAGATAACAATTTCCTTGACAAAGACTTCGAAAGTTGTTTTAGCTTCTTTTTGCCATGTAGAATTTCTACCTGGGCTGTAGGTAAGGGTAAAATATTCCATGTAGTACTCCTTCAATAACCACATTTGGACAATCGCTGGCTGCAGGCAAGGCGTAGGGATCCCTGAGGACAGCAGCACAGGCTGGTGGGACAGTGTGTTTGACTTCTCAGAGTCTGTCTCTTCAAAAGACCCACAACTCTCTGCTTTTGGTAGAGAAGGGAGTGTCGCACATTTAGGAAATCAAGAAACAGTTTGGGTAGTTCTTCATTTTCTAAAATGACAGCCTGTAAATATGTTTCCAAACTTGTCATCATTATTCCAAGACTTTAGGGACCCCATTTCTAACATGCTTAGAAGGGATTTCTGGTGTTTTTCTTAAGCTTTTTGTGCAAGACATGGAATTTGCTGTACCTCTTTCAACAAAATGTTTTCTTCCATTCATTAGCACTTCTATCTTAAACACAGCATATCCCCGCCCCGGATCACTCTCCTCGTAGTGAAATTATGGAATGTAAACCTCCATGGCCACACTAGCCAGCCGGCAGAGGACAGGCTAGCCCATAGTACTTTTAATGTTCTTCTCCAACACCATAATTCAAATTCATCAATTCTTCTACAGTCTTTCTTATTCATTGTTCAACTTTCACATGCATATGAAGCTATTGAAACTATCATGGATTGGGTTAGGCTCACATAAGTCCTCAAAATGGTATCTTTGCTCTTGAACACTTTAAAGAGGTCATAAACATTAATTATTAAATATTGTTGTTGCTAAATGCTGTTGAGTCAGTTCTGACTCTGTATAGGGTTTCCGAGGAGCAGCTGGTGAGCTTGAACTGCTGAGATGCAGAAATGCCATAAACAGAATTCTCACTAATAAAAATCTAGATTACTTCCTTTTATTCATTACTCATTTACACAGTGTCTACCAAGTAGCAGGCTCTGTGCCAGTAACTGAAAACACAAATATAGTTTACATTTTATAGAAACATTCTGGTCCCTGAAGAGTAAAGGGAGGGGGGGTTTAACAGTATCACTGCTGCCACCTCAAAAGCCTCTTCCTGTCAAAAGGAGAGGCAAGAAACAAGTGAGCGAGCTAAATGTAGAATACCATGATAAAGAATTATAAAACTGCTAGTTTCATGTTGCCTTCTATAAGCAGAACATTTACTAAATCTTATTAACATCAACGTGAAATAATCCAGGCCATCTCTCCATATTGAGTTGCTTAGGTTGGCTTCCCTTATTTTTAATGTTCATATTGTCACTACTTTCCATTAGTTCTGCCTTTTGTAAAAGAAAATCCTTATATGTAGTATTACAACAAACATTGGCTGTTATTTTAATGCAAACACTGTTAGCTCAAAGCCAATTCAGTTCTTACACTGAGTTGTACTTAATCATTAGGTGGGACTTACAGAGACTTTCCCATTTATACAAGCACTTTTGAACAGGTTACTCCTGGTATCTGGGCCTCATGGCTAGGGAGTAGGGACAAAATCAGAGTTCTCTATGACCTGTTGAGATACTTAGTTGCACAATGTTTACTTAAAACACACTTCTCCCACTATTTAAATCACGTGACTTGTAAATTTTATTTAGTTTTTCAGGTTTGACCTAAAAATAAATAGACCTTCTCACCTAATCATCACCTCTTAAACACTGTATTTTTATCTCTGAAAGCATAAGCTATACACATCAGCATTACTCAATCCATACATCAGTGTCTTCCAACTGATCCCAGACCAGAAGTCTCCAAAAAGGAAGACCATTTTAGAACAGCTAGTAAACAATTTATATTCCTATGTTATGAGTAACTTACAAAGATTAACAATGTGTTTCATGCAAATAAAATCAGTTCCATTAGATGGCACTTTAACCTGAAATAATTTGAGGTAATTAAACCCTTAGGCCAATAACCCTTTTTTCTATTTGCTCCCTACTCTGTTAACCATCCTTTACTATCTAACTCTTCCAGCCTGTCAACAGCACCTACATCCTCTTCATTAGCATTCCATCTGAAGACCCTTCTGCAAAGACAGACCAGCTCGAAGCAAATCTGACAACACACGCAGTTCATCACCAGTGTCTTCCAGCTGACCCAGATGGACCCAAGTATCTCCACAAAGAAAGACATCATCTAACTCACCACCCTCCCCAGGCCCACTTCAGAAGCCAGGGGTACATCTAGAGAACATCATGAAGAGCAGGACTCAACAGATGAACTTCTATTTATGGACCAAAGTGAATCAGAGGAAAGAAGTTAGGATCCTGGAAATTTAAGGGACTAAAGACCCTAGAATCCCCAATTTGGGGTGCCTCACTGTATTTTAGCAATGATCCCTCACATTGTTCCTTGTATGCCCAGACAATAATCTCCCTGTTTCTCTTGCACCTCAGTGTCCACTTGCACCTCAGTGTCCACTTGATTTCAACTGGCTAATGGAGCAGGACAAGAACTTAAAAGTTGGACATCAATAATACTATGGGGTCATACTATTGTCGTTCCCTTGGCATGGAACAAGACAGACGAAAGGGGCAATAGAGAGGATTATAAAACTCTTAATCCTAAGTATTTCTTCAATGTTGTAAATAATCATTTTTGTGACCAATAAAATGCCCAAAGTCCTCAAACTAATTTATACAATCAAGACATCTATGTTGTTTTTTGTTTTTTTTTAAAGGCTTATCTTATTTTTATTCTTTTCTGGCCATAATAATTATTTTTTTCATGTTTTATTGTGAATTATATGATATTTTACATGAGAGAACTTTAGTTTTACATTCATTCCACTGTAT